CGGCAGGCGTGCGTCGGGTTGTCTCCTTAAGCAGTTGGTTTGCACGCTTCTCGTCAGTTGACTCAGGAACTTGACGTGGCTCAGCTACTCCAGCATCCTCGTGGGGTGAAATAGTCACGAAGCTGTTCGTTTAACTCGCGATCACGATCGGATACAGTTCCGATGTGGATGCCGACAATCGTTGATTTGGTATGGAACGTCCCCTGCCAACATTTTGCACCGACAGGATGGGATGGCCCTCCTTCTCGTTGCTTAAGAGGGACGCATAATCTCAGGTTGTCAAGACCCATGAGTAATTTGGGCTCGATTGACTCGTAGTCGTCGAGTGGGGGACCACGCAAATGAGGAAAACGTTTTGAAAGGTCCAAATACTTCAAGCTTTGCGTAGGCAGAACGAGATGGCTAACCGTACGAGCATTGTGAAGTGTGTGTCGGGCACTGGTACTTTTGCCGGAGATGTCGAGTTGTACACATTGTGACTTTGGCTCGACCCGTGTCACGTTTCCGGTCCACTTCAGAGTGAGTGTTTCTGATTTCCCGCTGACACCAAGCCGTCTCGCAAAAGATTCGTCCAAGAGAGTGTAAGACGACCCTTCGTCGATGAAGGCCTGGATGTTTTGGGAGGTATTCGCTCGGTAGGAGTGGTGGAGTTCAGTAGAGTATGGTGCCTTTGACGACACCCGCTGACACCGCAGCCACTTGCCGTGACTGTTGAGGCATGTTCTGCAGAGTCCTTTCTGTTGAACTAGCGTCCAACGATCATCCACACTGGCACCATTGAACTGTTGACATTCAGCCACTCGATGACCCGCTCGTCCACACGATACGCATTGCCTTCCTGGTTTAGTGCTAGTGGGGGTACTGGTAGACGTGGGAGTTGGAGTTTCATCTGCGGAGTGAGCTTGAACAACACCTAAGTTTCCACCCTTCTGTTTGTTGCTCCGGGTTTCCGTGAACATGATAGACCTTTGAGTGGTGCTTAATCCTGGGAGGTCACCAATGTTGGCATGAACTCACCAAACGTGTCGAGTGTTGCGGGCTGATGCTGGTTGATTGCCCAATCGAGTCGCAGCGAACCTGGCAGTTTCTCTACCAGTTCTTGCATAAGTACCGGATTCGCAAGGTGGTTGAACTGCTGTGCTGCTTTGAGATGGTCGACCGAAAAGAGTAAGCAGGGTCTGGACGACGTGCGGTACGCTTGATGGCAAGAGCAATCGGCTTCTCACTGACTCCAGGGCGTTTCCCTTCAAGCATCGTTGAAGGCGAACCAGATTTTCTGCATCCGAGTAACCACAGGTGGCCGTAGACTGCTCGAAGTTACTGATGAAAGTGGGCCAGTCTTCCGGATTTCCTAAAACCTGTCTCACTGCGATTTGTGTTTGCGAAAGTGTTCGAACGGAGGAAACGGGAACAGTCGGCACAGGCTGTGGCGTTGGAATCGGATAACTCTGTGGTATTGGTATATGAGTGGGGTAAGCAGGTGCTGGAATTGGAGGCTCTGATATAGGAACGGGAAGATGCTGTGGAGCAGGGATTGATGATGGAAGCTGTGGCAGTTGAGGTGGAATACTTGGCATTGGATGGATTGGATTCAGCGGTATTGATGGTAGCTTAGGAATGGGGAGATCCGCTGAGTCGGGTTCAAATGGGAGTGTTTCGTTTTCCCAACCCGATTTCCATCGCCCTATGTCTAGCCAATCGTCTACCTTTTGGTCGCAATTCATTACCGAGCCACCTCTACTGCTAGTTTCTGCCATTTGACGAAGAATAGCTTGTCGCTTCTCGAAAGATTCCTTCCTAATTTGCTGCTGCTTGCGCTTAAGCTCCAATTCCTCCTGCAGTTTGAGCTCATGAAGTCGTTTCGCCTCCTCCATCTGACGCTCTGCTTCCTCCAACATTCGTTTCCTGATTTCTTCCCCTTCCAGTAGTGCTTGCTCTTCCATCTTCTGTTCTTCTTCGACGAGCTTAAACTGTTCTGCCAGCAAAGCAGCCCGGACACTGGAAGTCACAATTCCCGGCGGGTTGGGATTCTTCTTCCTCCCTTCTAGAGCTCACTTTTGAACTCGCCTTAGAGCCTTTAGAAGAACCTGTTTGGACAACGGGAACTTTCAGATGATCATCGTTGGATTTGCCCTGCTTCGAACATCGTCAAGCATATGTAAGTGGCATCCGGCTGCCAAAGTGCTCCCAGTGTTTGCACACGTCGCACTGGACCATCTCACTTTCTGCTGAGTCCGTTCGTTCGCATGCCTGGCAGTTCCGATGGGATTTTTCATCTGCCATACTTCCGATACCCGAACAAATTTCTTAAAGAAATGTTGAGTTAGGATCACCAACTCTAGGTGAGCAACACGTTTTTGTTGTGTATGAGCTTTAAGCTGCAATTAAATGTTTATTTAGGATAATTTTATAGCGATCCTGATATGTACGACTTACAAATTTGGTGTACTGTCTCTGGAAGTGGTGCGGCTTGATTCCCACTGTGCACTGCATTAGTTTTAACTGTACTAAACTGTATCTATAAATTCAACACTAGTATTAAGTTCAATTTACATTTTATCGATCCGTACTTACAATAATTAGAATATAGGTTTAGGTTTTAGCACGTAACGATAAATCGTGTAGAAAACTAGCTTTAGGAACTGTTAATAGTTAGCTTTAGATAGATTTAATAAGTGATTAACAATTGTGATAAATTCACCTTACATACAATTAAAACCGTATTGATTTGAACAAAAAATTGTGCACTATAAATTACTTTGCTGTTCTTCTCTTTCTTCTTTTTTGTTGACGTTCCGACAGTCCGTGACGGGATCGAAGTCACTATGTTGACAGCTGACGCAGCGCCGTCGTGTTAGGCGTCGCCGCGATGAGGGGTCTCGTCGTGACAGTTTATAAAACTCTGACTATCAAAAGAGAAAGTATATGAAGAGAATATTGATCAAAGTCACTTACCACCCTTTCCTTCTAACCCCCTCACATACATCATTGTGGTAAACATTAGAACAAAGTAAACAAAAAGTTTACTTTTCCCTTACTTGACTCCCATGTAAACTTCAAAGGGTCAGTGCAGTATGAGATCGCAACCAAATGAGCTCAAATTTTGGGAAAATCATCAGGAACCTGATTTGGAATCGATTAAGTGGGTGACACAAAAACGATAATTTGAACCACCCTAATAAATGCCCTTCATGGCGAATGCTTAACACAATCTTGGATTTAATAATGTAAGGTCCAATCTCCAAGTTGGTTTTGAATTCTGGCACCGATTTTGGAAGTTACAATCCGACAATGTTATTTGAAGCCGAAGATGGCGAATGTAATCTCTGGCATGGAAAAGTCAAGATGGTAATTTTATCGTCTTTAATAATTCCACACACTTATTCCCTAACTACACTTTTACGATCCTCATCAAGGGCCCATCACAGGACGGTGCTTTCGTGCAGAATGGAATCTGCTACACACAGGAGAGACTGTCCATTCCCAGTGCTATTGCTCTTTAATGGCTCCGGCAGCGATGTTTTATTCATCCACGCCGAGCACATCCGTCTGACCGTGAACAAGAACATGGGCACAAATCGTAAAGAAAAGGCATGATTTCTCTAATAGAATCAAGCTACCCATGAAGGACGAACGTGTTTTTCCGGTTTTTCCACTTTTCAACAATTGCGTCCGGTCCAGAATCGTAAAAAAAAAGACTAGGTAGCCCGAGCAAAGCTGGAGATCAAATTGAAATCAAAATTTGTTGTTATGATGAAACTGATTTTGAATACTTCAGTTAGTCTCATTTTGGATGACTTAACGGTTAACACAGCAAAAATGGAAACGTTTGCGTTGTTTCATTTGCTCACAAAAAAATTCCGAAAATCGTCGAGTTTTTGACGTGTTACTTGTATTTCCCCCCTTAACGGTTAACACATCAAAAATGCGAGCAACATTTTACACATTGTTGAATCAAACGGAAAACTAATCCTGCTTTCGATGAAATCAATTGGATTTTTCATTTATATTATTAAACTGAATACGGGCCTGGTGTGAATCGTTAATATCCATGCTTCTCACGCTGAAAGATTTGAGTTCAAATCTTATTCCGGACAAGTCACGAATGACCTAAAATGTGTTTAACAAAACAATGAACAAGACAAAGTTAGTTCATCTACAGATGAACTTTAATATAATTCCCAACAAGACGTTAACAGTAGAACTATAAGTTAAGTTACTTTCTTTAAAAAAAAAAACTCTTGACTGCATAATAAAAGAACAATATCTTCTTCTTCTTCTTATTCCTCGCATTTCAAGCCTATTGTATATGAGCTTATTGCCAAAATTGATACTCTATGGTCAGGGAAGTCAAGAAATTTTCCAAACCGAAAAATTCCTACATCGGATCGGGAATCGAACCCAGCCACCTCCAGCATGGTCTTGCTTTGCAACTGCGCCTTTACCGACTGAGCCAAGGGGAGAGGCCCAATATGACCAATAATATATCAGACTTATGCCGCGACAATTGAAAGCCAAATTAGTTTTCATTATGATAGGAACGGCAAAATTTAACATCAATTTGCTTTCATTTTGTTACCCGACTTTGCTCGGGTAGCCGATACCTTTTCCGATTTTTTTTGCTTGCTTCTTCTCTGAAGAGCAGGGGTACCTACCTATTCAAATCAACGCCTCCTACAACACAATGATGACGGTTTCCCCGCTTGCTTGGGTTTTCATTGCTCGCCGCCATTATTGAACAGTAGTCGTAGTCACAGTCGGGTGCTCCTGGGAAAAAGTAAAAGGCCACCGGAGGGATTTTCCAACTCGGTAGCAATCCCTTCTTCTCCATCGAGTTCCAACTTTCGGGGGGTGTACCTACCGGTATTTTCGGTGTCCGATCCATTCAAAGTTTACAATTCGGGAATTCGATTGAACAAAAAAATTGTCCATAGTTGAAATCCGATTTGTAGGGATTTATTTTCTGAATGGAATTAATTGAACAAAGTTCTTAATTTCAGGCGGGCAAATCGTCACGGAGCGAGGAGTGGGACGACAAACGCCAGTAATGGAGGAAACGGAGTGGATCTCAGTGCCGGTTCGCGAACCTACGACCTGTACGATGCCGAGGTGGACGTTTGTCGGGAGAAGCGCACCCAGCGCCACCTGGGCGCCATGGCCTCCACGCAGATTCTGTGCGTCTGTCCGCTGATGATTCTGAGGTAAGTTGATTTACAGAAATTTTGGGGTGGAGGGCTGAATTTTGACAGGTTGACAATAGCTTTGGAAACCAACAAGAGCCAACGTGTAGATTCCCGCGGGCAATATTTGAGGACAGGAATGCTGAAAAAAAATCCTTAAAGAGCTCTTTGTGCTGTCATGGACGGGACGAGGCACGGAAGAATGGTGGGAGGGATTGCGGATGGTCAGATGACTTTCATTATTACATTTTTGCTTCGCAATTATGAGGGTGTTAATGGCGATGATAGCGTCGCCATAGCGATGGTTGTGGGTATGATTTTTAGCCGTGTACTTAATATGGTAATGTAGCGATTTTTCAGCACGAGCCTCCTATCCCCGCGCCCCGAGCCAACATTTTTTGCGTATCCCAACCAAATGGATTTTATACCTTTAAAGTTATGAAATTTTCCCATGCATTGGAAAATGCTTAATTGCTGCGTAGCTACCCAGATTTACTGGGTTTTTTTTTAAGGAGAAACACGATTTGTATTGTACGGGTGGTAATTTATTACTGACTAGATTGCTTACTTTTTCTTTTTCACTTAAATTGATCTTTATTTCTTTTGTTTGTAGTGGGATTACATGTTTGTTTTTACAAGTGATACGCAGGTATCTTTTCATCTTTAGTCGTTTGATTAATATAATATTATTAATTAAATTTCCTAGACCTATCAGACCTGTTTAGGGACTTACCACCTTAGACTAAATTGCTTATGCTACATGTCCAATTTTATAGCTGCTGATTGCTATGTATTTGTTATTTACTTATGCTTAGCAACCAGTTCCTTGTACTTATGTACAGTGTTGAAATCAACTGCTTGCTTGGATCTCAACATTTTTCGATCTTGTTTTCCGTACTGAATACCAATGCTACCGACTGCCAGGGAGGCAGCTCCCACACCTTTACCCTACGTATCAACCCATCAACTCATGGACCGGGGACCAACGGCTTTACTTCCTGTGGTAGACGACACTTACTGTATACCAGACTATTATATCAACTGGGACAAACCCCCTTTGTCTCTATAGTAGTATATAGTCAATGGCTATACCTGTCACTAACACTATCACATGGGAGATGGGATCGATGGTGGCTCGTCACACAGGATTAGTCTTCCCGCGACCTCTGAGCTACCTAAGTTATCACAAACCGTGGCGACGAGGAAAAAGTTCCGAAAAAAAAAATAGTGGTTTTGGTTATTCCGGTTGCTTGTTTTAAGGTAAGAAAAGAGAAAATAGTGTCGGGAAAGAATAAAAATATTTGAAAACAGCGAAAAAAAATCAAAGAGAACGCGTTGGATAAAATCAAGCCACTAGACGCCATTTTGTTTTTATCTCTTCCGAATCTAAAAAAAAAAAAATGAATGAAAATTAGGTGGTCTGTTTTAGAACGAGGAGGCAAGCAACGCTGAAATGGTGATACCGAAGAAAAATGTGTGTGTGTGTGTGTGGATAGAGAAAGAAATGGCAAGAGCTGAACTGCCAGTTTTCATAGCGTGTTGACTCGGTTGACTCATACCTCGATTCTTACTTTCGTGTGCGTGAGTTGAAAAAAAAAATCGAGGAATATTGGAAGACGCCATTTTGTTTTATTATTCCAGTAGCTGAGGAAAAATAACCGGTTGGTTTGTATACCAGCGTGTGTAAGTATGCAGTGCATATTATTTCTAATTGGAAATTGTGATAAGGATGGCTAGAACATGAGATTCAAGCTGGGAAAATGAAATGGCTTAATGACCTTGAAATGATGGAATGTATTCATGCATATGAAAAGAAGAGAAACTAGAAGAGCTAAACCGATTTAATTACGGGTGAATGATAATGGAATTGATATGGTTGAAATAGAGATGCCGATTAAATTACGGGTAGAGAGTGAATATTGCCGATTTGATTACGGTTGGAGAGTGAATCTCGGAGTGAATACAGCCGATTTGATTATGGTTTAAAGAAATGATTGCCGAATCAATTACGGTTGATATAAAATGAGGTACCAAAGATTGTTAGTTGTATGGATTTCCGATTCAATTACGGTTGCAGAAGGAATAGAAAACATTTCCGATTGAATTACGGCTGACAAATATTAATAATGGGGAAAATGTTTACCGATTGAATTACGGATAGGAATGTTTATATATATATTTTTTTTTAATTGCATGTGTAATGTGAAGATCATCGACGGAAATTAATTCGGACGATCATGGAAGGTGATGAAGAAAATGGTGCCAGTCATCAGGTTATAAATCAGAACCTACAGTTCTTCAACCCGGCATCGTACAACCTACCACACTTTAAATACAAACACCTGCCAGCGTCAGAAGTTCGCAATGCCTGGACCATGTGGATCAGATGGTTTGAAAGTGTTATGGCTGCTTCGAACGTATATGAGAGTTCCACACGAAAAATGCAACTTCTGGCAATGGGTGGAATGGAACTGCAAAGCGCGTATTTTGCATTACCCGGTATCGACGATGATTCTGCTGATCCCGATGCAGATCCTTATGAAACTGTTAAAGTCAAACTTAGTCAACATTTTTCTCCTAAGCACCACGACAGTTTTGATCGGTTTTTGTTTTGGTCTTTGGCTCCAGAAGAAGGTGAATCAATTGAAAAGTTCGCTTTGCGAGTACAACAAAAGGCAGAGAAAATATGCTTTGGCAAGACCGAAACTGAAAGCCGACACATCGCGATTATCGACAAGATTATACAGTACACTTCCGACGACCTTAGGCAGAAATTGCTAGAGAAGGAAACGCTGACGCTGGACGACACCACCAAAATTGTGAATGCATACCAGTCTGTACGTTACCAGTCAGCTAGGATGACCAACAAAGGAATCGAGAGCTCCGTTAACCATATCAACCAATCTGAAAGAAGATCACGATGTCAACGCTATGGATTCAACCTACATCGGCAAGGAGAACGATGTCCGGCGGTGAATAGAACGTGTCTTCGTTGTGGAAAAGTAGGTCACTTTCGTACGGTTTGTCATTCGAAATCGAACCCTAGTTCAACCCATTCTTCAGATTCGGTAAGTAAATTTAATAAATAATTCTGACCCATTGTTGATCGATTGCATTTAAATGTTGAATGTTTAGGGTGTGGTGGACAGAAAGCGAAAGCAAAATTTTATGGCAAATGAACCCTCTCACCTGTTCAAACGCCCCAGACGTGTCTTCCACGTCAACGAAGATCAAGACGTTGGTAGAGAAAAACAAGAAAACCTATCTGTTTACAACGTAGGGGATAATGATGACGAGTTAATTAGATGTGATATTGGGGGTGTTGAAATCGTCATGTTGATCGATTCTGGTTCTAAGTATAATCTTATTGATGACACAACGTGGGAGTTGATGAAGATGAGAGATGTGAGGATAATTAATAAGAGAACTGACAATGACAAACGCTTCCTGGCGTATGGACGGATTCCTTTGAAACTTGTAACCGCCTTTGATGCAGAATTACAAATTGCCGATGGCGATCATGTACTGAAAACGATTACCTCCTTCTACGTAATCGAAAAGGGGCAGCAACCATTACTTGGAAAGCTTACTGCCCAAAAGTTAGGAGTATTGCAGATTGGTCTGCCAAGTACAAATTCAATGACAGTACGACGCATTGACAGCGCAAATAAAGCCTTTCCCAAAATGAAGGGTATAAAATTGAGCCTTCCAGTTGACAAAAGTGTCCCTCCTGTGATCCAGCCCTTGCGTCGTTGTCCCATTCCGTTACTGGAAAAGGTTAAGTTGAAAATAGATGAGCTTCTAGAAATGGACATAATAGAAAGGGTAACAAAACCGACTTCCTGGGTTTCACCACTCGTTCCAATCATAAAAGAAAATGGAGAACTGCGTTTGTGCATAGACATGCGACGGGCCAATCAAGCCATCCAAAGGCTCAACCACCCCTTACCAGTGTTCGACGACCTGATTACCAAATTCCGAAATGCAAAATTCTTCACGTCACTAGACATCAAGCAAGCTTTCCATCAGGTGGAGATAACAGAAGACAGTCGTGATGTTACCACTTTCATTTCCAATTGGGGACTGTGCACCGGAGCTTTTCCAGAACCTGATGGAAAGTATTCTGGTAGGATGCCGGAACACGGTAGTATTCATTGACGATATACTCATTTTTGGCGAAACTGAAGACGATCATGACTCCGCTGTGAAACAGACACTAAGCGTGTTGCATCAGTACGGGATTATGCTAAATGACCATAAATGTAAATTCAAGCAGCGGGAAGTGGTTTTTCTGGGTCATAATTTGTCGGCAGATGGAATATCAGCAAGTGAAGACAAGGTTAAGTCAATTGTGGCTTGTAGAGCACCGCGGACGAGAGAAGAACTTAGGAGCTTTCTGGGACTGGTCACATACGTGTCTAGGTAGGCGATTATATTTATTTAGCTTTGCTTCTTGTTTATTTTTATTTATTATTGTTTTGATAACTTAATTTTTTTGTGCAGGTTCATTCCTAGTTTGACAACAGTAAATGATCCTTTAAGGCAGTTATTGAAAAACGACGTGACATTTGAATGGTTCTCTGAACATCAGCAGTCATTCGACAAAATAAAAGCTCTGGTTGGGTCAGCAGGAAGCTTGGGATACTATGATCCCAAAGATCGAACTTTGGTCGTTACTGATGCGTCAGGTGTAGGATTGGGAGCCGTTCTAATACAATTCAATGACAATAAGCCTCGGATTATCAGCTATGCTTCTAAGAGCCTGACGGATATCGAGAAAACGTACCCTCCTATCGAGAAAGAAGCACTGGGCATTGTTTGGGCCGTAGAGCGCTTTAAAATTTATTTGTTGGGTATAACCTTTGAGCTCGAGACAGATCACCGCCCCCTGGAAACATTGTTTTCAATTTCATCTAGGCCTACTGCAAGAATCGAACGCTGGTTGTTGAGAATACAAGCTTTTAAGTTCAAGGTGGTTTACCGTAAGGGATCGGCGAACCTAGCGGATTGTTTGTCGAGAC